AATTCTGACATAAAACCATCTGGTCCTGGACTTTTCTTAGCTGGGAGTTCTCTTATTGCTGTTTCTATTTCAATGCTTGATATGGGCCTGTTAAAATGGCTTAACTCATCTTGGTTTAGTTTTGGCATGTCAATATTTGCTAAGAAAAGGTCCATTTCTGCCAAATTCTCAAACTTATTAGCATAAAGTTTTGAGAAGTATTCCCTTATAATGTTCTGAATCTTGGTTGTTTCTGTGGTGATGTTTCCATTCTCATCTCTGAGTTTATTTACTTGGGTGTGTTCTCTTCTTTTTCTGATAAGATTTTCTAAAGGTCTGTCAATTTTGTTTATTTTTTCAAGAACCAACTCTTTGTTTTGTTGATTCTATCTATAGATATTTTTGGATTCTAGTTCATTTAATTCTGATTTAATTTTAATTATTTCTTTCTGTCTACTGGATTGGGGTTTATCTTGTTGCTCTTCAAGGAGGTTCAGATGTCTCATTAAATTGTTGGTTTCAGATCTCTCCAATTTGTTGATGTAGGAACTCAGAGCTATAAACTTGCCCCTGAGTACTGCCTTAGCTGTGTCCCAGAGGAGCTTATAATTTGTATGTTCAGTTTTGTTGAATATCATGAACACTTGAATTTCCATTCTAATCTCTTCCAAGACCCACTCATGATTCAGCAGTGTGTTGTTCAGCCTCCCTGTGTTACAGGACTTTCTTTGGTGGCTTTTGGTGTTGAGTTCTAATTTTATTCCCTTGTGGTCAGAGCGAATGCAAGGTATAAGTTCAATGTTTCTGAATTTGAACAAATTTGCTTTGTGACCTAAAGTGTGGTCTATTTTAGAAAATGTGCTTCTGAGAAAAACGTGTATTCTTATGCTGCTGGGTGAAATATTCGGTAGATGTCTGTTAAATCTAGTTGATCTATGCAGTTGTTTAGCTCTGGGGTTTCTCTGTTGAGTTTTTGCGGAGTTGATTTATCTAGTGGGGAAAGTGGTGTGTTAAAATCCCCAACAATTAATTTCTTTGGATCTATGTGGGATTTGAGGGAAAGTAGTGTTTCTTGGATAAATTTGGGTGCTCCGTTGTTTGGCAAATAGATATTTAGAATTGTAATATCCTCCTGAAGGAGAGATCCGTTAATTAGTATGTAGCGACCTTCTTTATCTCTTCTCACGAATTTTAATTTGAAGTCTATTTTATCTAATATTAGAATTGCAACTCTCGACTGTTTATGGGGGCTGTTTGCTTGGTAGATTTTGTACCAGCCTTTAACATTGAAAATGTGTTTGTTTTTATGGTCAAGATGTGACTCCTGAAGGCAGCAGATAGAAGGATCTTGCTTTTTAATCCAACTAGACAGTCTATGACACTTAATTGGAGAGGTAAGTCCATTAATGTTGAGAGTTAGGACTGAGAGGTATTTGGGAGTTCCTACCACTTTATCCACCTTCTTGGGGGCTGCAGCTACTGGGATCTTCCTTTGGTTCTTTACTTCTCAGTTTGGGTGAGGTTTCTCGGCCTTTATTGTCATCTTGCTGGTTTTCTATGTGTAGGACATCTTTCAGAATTTTTGTAGGGCTAGTTTGGTGGAGATATATTGTTTCAATTTTTCTTTGCTATGGAAGGTTTTTATTTGGCCTTCAGTTATTAAGGAGAGTTTAGCTGGGTAACGTATTCTTGGTTGATATTTTTTGTCTTTAGGGCAAGGCATACTTCATTCCAGGCTCTTCTTGCTTTGATTGTCTCTGCTGAGAAATCTGAAGTGATTCTAATTGGTTTCCCTTTATAGCTGATTGATCTTTTCTCCTTGACAGCTTTAAGGATCTTTTCCTTGGTCTGAATTGATCCTGTGTGGATTATAATGTGAAGGTGGGATGTCCTATTCTGGTCTGGATTATTTGTAGTTCTAAAAGCTTCTTGTATCTGAATAGGTCTATCTTTTTGCATGTTTGGGAAGTTCTCTGCTAGGATCCTGTTAAACAAATTTCTTAGACCATCAACTTCTGTTTCTAGGTGCTCCTCTACACCCATTATCCTCAGATTAGGCCTTATGATGCTGTCTGCCAAGTGCTGAATAGATCTCTCATATTTCTTGGATTTGTCTTGGATGGTTGTATGTTCTTTCTCTATAATATCTAAGCTGTCTTCAATCCCTGAGAGTCGATCCTCTGAATGGTCTAACCTGTTGTCGAGATTTTCTACTTTGTTTTTTTTATTTCTTTTCCTTCTAATTGGTCACCTTTGATGGCTTCATATTCTTTGTTGAAGCTTTGTTTTAGATCTTGTATAAACTTCTTTACTTCCTTAATTTGGTGTTCAGTGTTTATTCTCAAATCACATAGTTGATTGGTTATGTTTTCTTTCGACTCCCATTCCTTCTGTTGGGTTCCATTCAGTATTCCCTTTGTGGTCTCCCTGACTTCCTTCAGCTCTTTGTTAATGGATTCCATGAATGCCTTTCATGATCTTTGTGTATTCTCATCCTTCTCTCTCAATTCCTGTATTACTCTTTGCTTAGCTTCCTCACGTTCACGCAATTCCTGTAGTTCTCTTTGAGTGTTCTCAGCCTGCTCACACCATTCCTGCCTTTCTCTTTGAGTGTTCTCAAGCTGCTCATGCAATTCCTGTATCAGTTTTTGAGTAGCTTCCTCACGCTCATGATATTCCTGTATTAAACTTTGGTTTGCCTCCTGTCTCTCCCTATCATGCTCATACAGAGTCCTTTGTTTTCAATCTTTTTATTTACCATGTTTACCAGCAGTGTTTGTAGAGCTATTTGGGAACTCTCCTCTGGATTATTCGTTATCTGTTCTGTCCCATGATTATCATGAGTGGGAGTTGAGATACCCGGACTTGCCATTTTTCTTGTGTTTTTCCAGCTTACTCTGCCCATCTGGGATGAAAGTAACACCAGTTTTGTGCTAGAACACTATCTTAAGGCAAGCATCAACCAAAGTCTGTAGTTGCACAGTCAAAAGTCTGCAGATACAATCTAGTTCAACAGATATATCTATTCTACATCAAACAACTTCATATTAATGGGCTAAGAACCGCAAAGAAGAATTTGGCAAACTAGAAATTATTAGATTTAGGGAAAGATATGGGTAAAAATAGGAATAGAGGGATGTGGGAAGGGACAGGGAGGGTTAACTTAACTAAATTCTAATCTCAAAGTGGGAAATAGGTTGGATAGAATGAAAGTAGAGAGAGAGAAAGAGAGAAGAAAGAGAAAGAGAAAAAAGAGACAAGAAAAAAATAGAAAAGCAAAATTAAAAATTAAAAAGTGCAATGCTTAACAATTATGCAAATTTGAAAGCGAAATGTTCAGAGAAGAATGTGGACATAATGAGAGAAGGGGAGGGATATAAAGGAGATGTGAAAAACTTGAAAATAAAATGCTTAAAATATTATATAGGTATGAAGATGTAGTACTGCTATTAAGGAATTTAAGTCTAAGAGGTTTTGAATTGAGTAACAAATTGCTGTATTAAGTGTATACACAATGGGTGATAAGGTTTAATAATCGATTAAGGGTTTATCTGAGGATGTGCAGAACAGCAATTAAGTCACACAAACAGGAGCGAAAGAGAAGGAAAGGTGAAAAGAATGAGAAAGAACGAAAAAAAGATCAAAAGTTCAGTAGTGCTAAACAAAAAAAAATAAAGTTTTTTAAAAAGAGAAAAAAAGAAAGAAAAACACACACACATATACCCCTAAAATAAAAATTCTAAGAGGAAGAAAAAAATTACTAGAAAGTAATTTTTTAAAAAAGTTAAAATATAAAAATTAAAAAAGTTTTAGAAAAAAATTTTTTTATGAAAGTTACAAAAAAATAAGTTCTTTGATTTTTTTTTGCGGGTGGTGGGGAGGAATGGGAAGATCCTGTATCTCCCTTGTGTCCGTAACCAGTCTCTTGGTGGAGTCTCTGGTCTGCTTGTGGTGTTTGATTTTCCCGTGGCTTGGTTGTTTTCTTAAGTCAGTTTGTTTGAGCAGGCAGAAAAATGCTCTGCTTTACCCAGGATTTTGTGATCCTCCTCCCAGGCTAGTTCAGTGGGAGGGAGATCTGCTTTGAGTATCACAAAAGAAGGAGATGGCTGTTTCCTCTAGTTTGGAGATGGTGTGATGAGCCTAGGTTCTGGGTAGAGTTGAGGCATTTCAGTAAACAGTAGCTTTTCCCTGAGGGGCTAGCTTCTGAGAAACTCACAGAGCCCAGCCTGGAGCCTTTCTCAGGGTTTATGTTTATGGAATTTCAATTAATTGTCAAGGCTGCTAAAGGGAGGGGCAGCCTCTGGCTCTCTTTACCCAGTGAAGAAAGCCACTCCTAGGACTGGCAGACTGGGCTGGGTGACTTTTCCCTGTGTGGAGTTGAGTATGGCAGGTTAGGTTAGGTTCTTGTGACCTGCTAAATGACTCTAGTTTTCTTCCAAGGCCTGAGTTGGAGCCAGCTACTCAGCCGGGCCTTTGTCAGTATCAAAGATGAAGATCTCCAGTAGTGGGGGGGAGCGGTGGCCTTCCCTCCTCTGCTCCCTGTGAAGGAGTGAGGATGTCAGGCTTCGACATACACTGGAGTCTTGGTTCCTGGGTCGTCTCTGGTCTGGGAGCTGCAGGATGAAGATGTCTGCTCCTTGTTGGTTCTTGCTGGTGTTGAGTAGAATCTGCCTTGCCAGCAGTGTCTGACTCCTTCATTCCAGACTCTCTGTGTTGCAGGTATGGCGGCTACGGCCGCTGCTGCTGTAGCCACAGCCACAGCAGTGACTGCTGTCAAGTGTTCAGAACTGTCTTCTTGCCTGGATTTTCCCTCTCTGGCCTAACTCTCTGTACTGTGATGGCACACTTGGTGTGATTCTCTGGCTTAGGACTGTTCACTGGAACACTAAAACTGCTTTCTATGTGAGAGTTTGTTTAGCCTCCAGATTTTCCTCCGCCATCTTCCCGGAACTTCCATTTCTATCAATTTGTAAGGATTCCATTATCTCCACATTCTCAAAAACAGTTTTATGTTTTCATGTTTTATGAAGTTACGTTTACTCAGGGGAAGTCAGGTGCTCTTACAGTTTTTGATTTGTATTTTCCACAAACAACTACTTAGCAGTTGTTACCAGAAATTTGTTATCAGAAATGTTAACTTATGTTGACTTCCATTTTTAATTGGATTATAATGCATTGAATTATAATTCTAGATTCTTTTTATATTTTGGATATCATTCCCTTGCCAGATAAATAGTTTCCAAAGATTTTTTTCTCACTCCTTTGATTATTACAGTATTTCTCTATAATTCTGTGTTGTGTTAAAAATATGTCACATTTTATGCTAATAGCTTAAGGAATTTAGTTTTCTGGAGCTGCTCTTGGCTTTTCTTATTGAAAAGGCCATCACTCCACATTTTCCTTTGTTTGCATGTCAACATTATTCTAGTTAAGAGGAGAGTCAGTATTTGATTACTTATAATACATAAATATTATTGTGAAATGCTTTTGTTCATTAATCTGTACTTCTGAGATTTGTTAGGCAATATACTTATAGATTTCTAGTTTGATAACTGACCTATATTTGACATTTGCCTATTTATTGCAACTTATTGAACAATTCATGGATTGGATTACCCAAAGTATTCAATTTCAACATTGGCAAACATGCTAAGAGGGCAGAGACAGTCTAATCTTCTGCTTTCCTAGCTCTTATATTCAGTACCTGCCATCCTATATAGAGAAGTGTGAATCATAACTATGCTTCACCTTATTGTGAGTGTACTAATTTCACATTCTGGCATTGTGTTCTCTTCCTTTATCAATTTCTTTATTAACTAAGAACTTTTGGTTGGAAGTAGCTAAAATGAAAGCATAAAGTTAGGCATAAAAGGGAGAATTAGTCATGCACTGGTGGCTCACATCTGTGTTCCTAGGTACTCAAAAGGCTGAGATCTGAGGATCACAGTTCAAAGCCAGCCCAGGCAGAAAAGGCCCAAATTTCAAACCCCATGACTGACAAAAATTTTTCTTAAATTTGATTAATTGGAGGAATAAAAATTTCATTAAATGTAGTAAAAAATTAGTCTTACTGAGCAAAACGCTAGAGATTTCCCCAGGCATCAGAAGAGGACAATATATTGTCAAAAATTTAAAAGGCTCCAAGTATTAATCATCCAAACCATTTATATTCACTCAATGTTGTATTTTCTTTTTCTTCACAGTCTTTTCCTGCTTCTTCTGTTGAGTAAACTGTGGTTTCCCTTCTCTTTCTAACATATATTTTACACTTTCAGCTGGAGACTAATGTTAAGTCCTAATTGCACAGGAATGATTCATACTTCAGTAATTGTAATCAGCCTTCTACATATGGTTCAATTAGCATGATCAAGAGTCAGTAATCACAAAGTAATAAAATGGCTTCTGGGAGCCAACTTGGTATACAGAGAAGGCTCCTCTTACTAGAGAAAGATGGGAGATGGATTGAGTATACATAAGATCACTTTTTTGATAATACTTTATTAAAACAATATGCACTGGAAAAGGCCAAATTCATAGATTTCGAAATTAAAAATATAGGTAAATTTGGGTTTGGTTAAAAACATAAAATTTCGTTTTAAGTTTTCAAATTAGTTAACCATTTAAAAATAAAACATAATTCCATACAATTTTTCAGGAAATGAGTTCACCAAATGAGTTGTAGTTTATAATTAAAGACTGGTAATAATAAGCAGTTTTTAAAAGAATGAGATATTATTTTATATTCTAGATCAAACTTTTTTTTTGTCAGTTGTGGGGCCTGAACTCTAGGCCTGGGCACTGTCCCTCAGCTCTTCAGCTCAAGGCTAGGATTCTACCACTTGAGCAACAGCACCACTTATGGCTTTTTTCTGCTTTTGTGGTGCTGAGGAATCAAACCTAGGGCCTCCTGCATCCAAGACAAGCACTCTACCACTGTTCTACCTTTCCAGACCCTAGCAGGATTGGGTGGGGGGGGTAGAGGTGGGGAAGATGGAAAGGGATGGGAAGGGGAAACAAAGGAGGAGGTTACAATGCTTGATAAGAAATGTACTCATTATCTTGCCCATGTAATTGTAACCCCTCTGTACAATATTTTCACAATAAAAAGATCAAACTTTTTAAACTCAAATTTTTAAATTAATAAGTTGTTTTTATTGTGAAAATACTGTATAGAGGGTTTACAATTACATGAGCAAGGTAATGAGTTCATTTCTTATCAAGCATTGTTGCCTCCTCCTGTTTCCCCTTACCATCCCTGCCCTTTTATTTTAATTGAATGACATACTTCAAAATTAAGTACTTTATCATTGTTTACCTTTCTCAAGTAAAGGCAGTATCTAGGTTGTGGGGAAATCTGAGCAAATGTTTCAGAGATCAGACTTCACTACCAGACAGGTTGTTCTTGTTGATTTTATTATGCGTATGTTATGCATCTCATTTTCCTCTCAGTAGTTTAAGTAATTTAATGTAAATTAGCATTCTTTATTCTTCTAAAATCCTTGCTTTCAAGTCCAAGTCAACACTTTGGATCAAATACAGATTTTGGACACTTTTAGAAGGAAGCTGAGATTCAAACATGATTTTAGAAACTGTCTAAATTTAAATAATTCTTAGATATACCTGTCCAATGTGAAGCTTTCTTCTCCAGGATTATAATACATAGCAAGCCATACGTGAGACATTTTCTTTGTCATTCAAGAGATATTTCATTTATAATATACAATGGCAATTTCTTACTATTTTTCACTTCTGGAATTGGGTCCAAGACTCATCTCAGCTTCCCAGATTTACTCTTTTATCTTTCCCAATATCAGAAGCTATCATTTATTCTCCCCTGAAGTAATTTTTATTTTCTATTCTTTAATTCTATGTATTTTCCAAGATTTGAGGAACAAGCAGGTATTCACATACACTAGGGATGTACTGTACTACTGACCACCACTCTCTTTCCTGATCTTAACATTTTTTGTCACCATTCTAGTAATTATCATCTAAATTTTGAAATAGCAATAGAGTCATATATTGCATCTCCACATTGCAAAATATGCTGTGTGAATGGGAAAATATTGTTGACAATTAAAATTTTACTTAGATCATTTCTAGTTTCCAATATTTTTAGCAATAATATTAATAGTAATAAGCAACAGCTAACACAGTTGTGGTTCAGTTTTAACCATTTTAGATACATTAACTCCTTTAATTTTTAACCATTAGATAGAAAAGAAAACTGAAGTATATTGATGTTAGTGGAAACAATGAAAATTCATAGAGAAGGATCCAAATTTCCAGATTCAGTTTGTCCAATTCTCCTGCTCATATCCTTAACTGTTTACTGCATCCCCCCCATATCTCATTGACTTATTTCTTGAGAAGTGTGTATAGAATCAAATTATAGGCTGTTCAAGAAAAAGAGCTTATCATCAAAACAGAAACAATAAGTGACAAAGATGTGCAACCTACATTTTGGGGGGATTCTAAGTCAGCTGGATGTACCAATCTGTGTTCAATTTTGGTAAAGACAAATCAATCCCTTATTTAAAGGAACTAGTAAAGACTAGATCACTACAGTGATTTACAAACCTAGTTTTACCTACTTTTACCTGGCAGAAGTTGATGTGGCCTTAACCTCTCCAGGCTTAGTATCTGGACTCAGAGGCTAAGATGATTGCCTTGTCACTCCCAATTTTTGGCTCATCCAATCTGTCTCCTGTTCTTACAGAAATCTACTCCTCTGTGAAGTGATTGATCATATCAATTTTATGTTGCAGTTTTCATTTGCAAAGACCTATCCCTGCCAGCTTCCTTAGTGAGAGCTGTTAATAGCCAATCTCCTACCCTGAACCTCCAGAATCAGCACTGCCAGCACAGATGAGTATTTAGTTAACTTTCTATATCTCCTTTGTGTCTCCTGTTTCTTGTAAGAAGTGTTATAATTTTACCAAAGATCAAGAAAAGATATTGGAAATTCAATTAGCTAAAAACCTGAAGACATGCAAAGTAGCATAATTGAGAGTAGAGGAAAAAAGCAAATAAGAATCAGTAAGTACTAAGTTCACTTTTAGGCTCTTCCATTTACTGTCTATACTACAAGAGGTTATATTATTTCCCTGAGATCCATAAATTTATTTATAAATTGGGATAAATCCCAATGTTTAGACAGCTATTCACATTAAGTTGTTAACTATTTATGAAGTACCTTACATAAAATGTCCTACATGTATTAAATGAAGGGTTTTGCTGTAAAATCCACCTACCTTCTTGCACATGTCTCACAGCTGTAATGCTAGATACCCAGAAAGCTTATCTCCAGAGGATTATGTTTAGAGGCCAGCCTAGGCAGAAAAGTTCGATACTATCTTCAAAGTAACTGGAAAAACACATAGCTAATGATTATGTTGTAGAGTACCAGATTAAGCAAGCATGAGAACTTAAGTTCAAACCCCAGTATCATTAAAGGAAAAGCCAACAAAGAAAGAAAAGAAAGAAAAAAGAAAATATTAAACTCTCCTTTATATCTTTCCATCTTATTTACTACTTTTTCCTCTAGTGGACAGTGGGCCAATCTTATTTCAAAAATAATTAGTGAAAAAGAGTACTAGAAACATGATTCAGTGTTACAGCACCTGTCTAAAAAAGTACAAGACTCTGAGTACAAACCCTACTGAAACAAAATTATATCTAATATTATATGGAGTTTGTTATTTTCATTTGTTATGTAAAAGCTTATCAGGAGCAATCTTCACTTACATTCTCACAATATCCAGAAAGGGGGCAAGACACACCAGAAATTTAACCATATTTTTGAGTCATCACAAAGTTGAAATTACAGGGCAAAACCTCACAGTGTAAGGAAACTTAGATGCCTACAAAGTTAGCTTGGACACTATGTTTCAGACACAATTGGGCATCACTTAAGAGATTTAAGCTAAAATTGCTAACAAATGGATCAGAGCCAAGTCTGGGCTACCAAGCAAATACTGAACACTTTAAGCAACAGATGTAAGGGGAATGTTCACTCACTTGAAGGCTATTTCACACAAGCCTGACTAAGCTAGAATGACAGCAAACCTGAGAAAATATCACTCATTGTAAAGGCCTTGGAGACAACAATAATCCATGTGGGAAAGATGAGATTTTTCTAACTTTATAGAAAAACACTTGACTAGGAGGGAAAAACAAAAACAAATATATCCTTTTCCTTGGAAAAAAGAAAATTTAACATCAAATACAGTGAAAGCAAGGGTTATACTGTGGGGGAGGGACATACAAAGCAACAAAGAAATAATCTTGTAAATGTGTTAGAAACAATCGCATGAAAGAAAAAAAAAATTTGAATACATATCTTAGGGTTTATTTCCATAGCATCAACTTAACTGACCTTTTCTTACAATTTGTGGAGGGGAAGGGAAAAAACAAATCGTTTAAATCGGGATACAGGTGGACCCATTGCAACAATGAGACATACAAGTCGTTATGTCAAAAACGAACTTTACAACTTTGGTAGTGGGGGACAGGAGGGTTGGATGGGGGTGTGGGGGGAGGATGGGATGGGAAGGGGAAACAAAGGAGGAGGCTATAATGCTTGATAAGAAATGTACTCATTATCTTGCCCATGTAATTATAATCCCTCTATACAGTATTTTCACAATAAAAAAGAAAAGAAAAAAGAAAAGAAAAGAAAAGAAAAAGAAAATTTATAAAGAAGTGTGTATTATCAAAGAAATAAATCCTGCTTGTTTTTAGTTTATTTTTACTTGGGATATACAAACACCCATATATATATATATATATATATATATATATATATATATATACATGTATGTATATATATATATATATATGTATGTATATATGTATATGTCACAATTCTATTTTTGATTTTATGGTGGTTAACTGGAGATAAGAATTTTCCTGCCAGTGCTGGCTTCAAACTATGTTCTTTAGATCTCAACCTCCTTATAACAAGTGTGATCACTGCCCCCGCCCTGCTAAGCTATATACATATATGTATATATGTGTTTGTGTATCTATCTATCTATCTATCTATCTATCTATCTATCTATCTATCTATCTATCTATCTATCTATTTGCCAGTCCTGGGGCTTGAACTCAGGACCTAAGCGTTGTCCCTCAGACCCTTTGTGATCAAGGCTAGCACTCTATCACTTGAGCCACAGTGCCACCTCTGGATTTATCTAAATAGTTTATTGGAGATAAGAGGCTGAGGTGCCCGGGCTTGCTTTGAACTGTGATCCTCTGACTCCTGAGAAGCAAGGATTACAGGTGTGAGCCACTGATATCTGATGGGCTATATTTTTATTATTGAGTTTGGGAATTTTCTTTGATTATTCTAGATAAAAGGTATTTATCACATATGGAATTTGCAAGTATTTTCTTGCAGCCTATGGCTTATCTTGTTGATTTATTTTAATTTAATTTATCTTGTTTGCTGTTCTCTGAAATCATGCTTGTTAGGAAAGTGCTTTACCAGTTGAATCATCCTCCCATCTGATTTTTCTTTAGTTAATATTCAGTAAATTTTTATGGCTTTGCTTATGACTGGCCTTGTACTTCTACATCCTGCATAGCTGGAATTATAGGTGTGCATCACTACTTTAAAAAAATTTTTATAAATTCTCACTAACTTCTTTGATTAGACTGGCCTCAAACCATAATCCTCCCATCCCTGTCTCTTGTGTAGGTAGGTTTACAGTGTTTCACCACCTTGTTCAGGTTATATTACTTATTTCATTAAGGTTTTTCATGAAGCCAAACTTTTGAATTTGAAAACAATAAAATGTCTAATTATTTAAGAGCAATTCTAGGTACAACACAACTGCAAGCAAAATACGATTTATTCACAGAACCTTTTCTTTCTCACCTGCATGAGCATTCCATTGACAAATTCTCCACCATGGTGGTATATTTGCTAAAACTAACCACCCTATATTGTCACAATGTGGCACACAGTATATTAGAGTTCTTGTTATTATATGCTCTATGGTCCTATTAGAAATATATAATAAAAATATGCATTAGCACTATAATATTACATAAGTATTTGAGATCATATAGTTCTCTGTTTCTATACTTTTCTTATGTCACTAAATAGAAATTCTACCATATTTATATGTATTGTCACAAATGAGCTTTCCTTCTTGTTAAAGCAGAAATACATATTCTATTTATGGTATATA